CTGCCAAATTGTTGATCATTCCAAATCCTGATCCTTGCTTTCAACTCTTTAAGCTTATGCTGAAACTTCATACCCTCCCACTTATCACTAATATTAATCTCCATCCACTAGTCCTTTACCTTTTCTCTAAACCCTTGGTGACTAAGCCACATGTTCTCAAACTGAAACGGGGCTGGACCATTTCCTCTTAGTTCCTCCTTAGATAAAGAGATAGGCTAGTGGTCATAGGTTAACCTAGGTAGAGCCAAAGAGCTCAAATCTCCTCAGTGGGCTTCCCAATCCACTGTAAATAAAAATCTATCAAGGTTTTCCTTTGTCATAGGTTAACCTAGTTAGATTGCATATTGGACCAAGTGAAATTACTACTCCCAAGAGGCACCTCCTTCAATTCACAATTGTTTATGAATTCATTAAACTTCCTCATACTTGTGGTTTTCCTTTGTCTCATCTTGTTAGACTCCTCAACAAATCTTATTACATTGTAGTCCCCTCCAATACACCATGGTCCATCCCACAATCCCCGTATATCTTCAAGCTCTTCCCACATTTCATTCCTCTCCCTATACCCATTAGGTCCGTAAATGCATGTTAACACCCATTCAAAACCATCCTCTTCATTTCGAAATTTGAGACACTGTAAACTTCCCTATCAATTCCTCTTTTCTCAGCAACATGCTCTTCTATATTACTACCCATAGTTTTCAAGGCGCCAAGGTGAGGCTAGGCGACAGGGGGGCGCCTAGTCGCCTAGGTGAAGAAAATTCAAAAAATATAGGGCCTGAACCCCTACTTTTGTTATAGGGAAGAAGAAAAGAAAAGGTGGAAGAAGAAGAAGAAGAAGAAGAAGAAGAAGAAGAAGAAGAAGAAGAAGAAGTGGAAGAAGAAAATGTGTTGATTAGACAAAATTTTAAGTTCTTCCCTTGCTTATAGGTTCAGGTTTTGAAAATTTTGAGGGTTCAATCAAGGATCAAAATTTCGATATGATACGCCCCGTATCGAGTGTATTGTATTGTATCTTTGGGGTCCCGATACTTGTTTACAGGTGTTTTCGGTGACCCATTTTTTTAAATAATATATATTTAAAAATGAAATTGAAAACCAAAGAAATAAAAAAATAGGGGGAGTATCGTTTTAAGTACCAATACACCTCTGCCAATACACAAAGGTGTGTCGATACTGTGAACCATGGGTTCAATACAACAGTTAGCAATGTTTGCATTGATTAAACCCTAAAAAAATAAGAAAATAATAAAAAAATTAGTATATAAACACATAAAATGAATATTTTAGTTTAATAATGTCTATTTTATAATTATAATGTCAAAAAATAAAAAATCTAAAAGTATTTTATAACCTAGTGTACAAAACTGCTAGGCGACTGGGCGAGGCGAGCCTCCAAGGGCGCCTTGTCACCTAGGCATTGCCTAGGTGCCCGCCTTGACAACTATGGTACTACCATACCACCTGAGGAATCTCATGACAGTGACATTGCCCAACCAATGCCCCTAGACCTCCATATACTTCTGGCCATCTGTCATTAAATGTCGAAAGCTTAGTTTCTTGCAAGAAAACAACATCCGGCTTCTCCTTCTTCAGCAATTCCTTTATTAGGGCTCTCTTCCTCGCACTCCCTAACCCTTGAACATTCCAACTGATCATTTTCATCAAGTCACTTCGCTTTTGTATCCCTTGGCTCCTTGTCTTACTTGCCTCCTCTTCTCCTACCATTCCTCTCACTAAACTCTCTATCTCCCTCCACATCAAGCTTTAACCTCTCCACTTCACTCATCTTCCTTTTTCTCACCTTCACCTCAGTTTTCTTGGTCCTTAAGTAGGTTTTTAGGTCATTAGGATTCTTCACCTTAAAAACCAACTTCTCCACAATACTTTCTGTCCTGTCTTCTTCCTTTTTGTCTGCCACCAACCCTTCCCCCCTGTTCATTTCTTCCTTCCTCTCTGTGTGTTTATTTTCCTCTAACACCTTTCTCGTCATTTCTTTCAAATGTTGTGCAATTAAACCCCAAATTCTTTCTCCCATCTTTTCAACAATTACAGTCTCACCCCCAATATCCGTGACAGTCATTGTTGCATCCATGGCCTGCAGCAAAAGGAGAGGCTGGGAACCTGGAGAGTTGGCATGAGACAGTGAATTCACATTAGCACCCAAAAACAAATTAACTGCTGTACCTGGGGGGGGGGAAGGGACAGGAATTTCCTTTCCCATCACAGGAAGAGGAGGAACACGGTCTTTAATAGGGTAGACCTGCTGGGAACCAAATTCCGGGAAGGAATTCACCTGCGAAAAACTTCCTGTGCTCTGCGTCTTATCCCTGCCTGGCAAACCTTTATTAAGCCTTTGGTAATCCTTGATAGTCTCATTACCGCTACCCTGTTTGAGGTTCTAATTGGAAATGGACCATCTAGATTTGTAGCAGTGTTTTCTAGCCTCCCATTCACGCAAGGTTGGGCCTCAAACACACTATCACTAGTCGATGCCGAAACATTGGAAGTGGAAAAAACCGTCTCCGTTGTCTCACCGTCAAACAGAATGCCGAAGTTCAGAACCTCTGTATCTGCCTGTGACTCAACACTACCTGGAACAGACTCTACCTCGTCTTCAGATTCGTCCTCTGACACGTCACAGTCCATCCAGCCTCCTTCCATTAGATCTTTTTCCTCTGATCTGGTTCGATTGTACCTTGGATTAGGCTGATCAGCAGGGATTTTTATCTTGCCAATTCCTTCCATTCTTTGTATAGGAACCCAATGCAAAGAGGAACGTGAACCAGACTTAGCCGTAGCAGGAGCCTTGTTTTGCTCTGTTGGAGAAGATGATAGACCAAAACTTTTGTCCCCTGTATCTTTCATTTTACCTTTTCCCACGTGACTATTTAGTGAGTCACATGAGCCAGAGACCCACTCTGACCTCTTCAACGGGTCGGATCTAGCCACCTCTTGTGTAACCAAAGCTCCTATCAGTCCACAACCTGGGTCTGACCCAAGTCCAGACCGAACTATTTCAACAAAGGGTTTTTTCTTCATTCCTCCTGGGGCAAATTCAATTTTATTTGAATATTTACTAATTCTTGTTGCCCCCTTTTTTTTGTTAGTCGAGAAAGACTGTTCGCCTTTCCCTTTCGTCATATCCACTCCTTCCTTCATTCTCCTAATGCCACCTGGAAACTACCTTTCCAGCTCATCACCTTCTTCCAGCTCTCGACCTCCCTGCCACTGCGATGCTTCAACTGCCGTTGCAAACCACAGGTGCCACCACCTGCCTTCCACCAGGAGCTCGCAATACCTAGGGATTAAATATGGCTTCACCCCGGCGATCCTCATTTTCACGGTGAACAAGTTATCAAAACTATAACCTTCAAGCTTGCCTCTTAGAGCTGTTACAATTTTTTCAAACATTTCCTCCTTCCAGAGATTGAATGGTAGGCCTGCAACCTTCACATCAGCTCTAAGGTCGTCGATTTCAGTTTCATTACATGACATATTCCACCGCTCGATCAGTGCCAGGCCTTCTCCTGGTTTAAACGTTGCCAGTTCCAGCTTCTCTTCTCCGACATCTAGTAAAGCGCTGTTTTCACAGAAAGGAAGTAGTGCAGCCGTTGCTTTAATGTGAAGCTCTTTCTTCACCGACTCTAGAACCCCCTGCCAGTCGTTCACCTTTTTCTGAAAAGTAATAACATATCTATTGGCCCAGACACTTTTCTCTACCTCCATCGCAAGTTTAGTTGCAGATTGAGAACTCGCAACAACCATATAGATATTCTCTTTTTCAAAAGGGTCTGGGGTTCAGGTTTCGAAGGTTTGTTCTTGTTCTGCTTCCACTGTCTCCACTTTACTGCCAACCTTAATACCCTCTTCGATGAACATCAAGAAATTTTGCAGGGAATCTGTGAACAACTTCCACCCCCTGCTTTTCTTGCCTTCTGGCAGGCATATCATTTGTTTCCTCCCTCCTTGAAACTCTTCTATTACTGTAACGAACCGCCCCTTCTGGTTCCATCTAAGGATTGCTTCATATTTCCGGTCCAAGGATGACATCGAACTTTTCCATCCTTGCTTCTTCACTGATCGTATAGCTCCATCAACGAAGCCTTGTAGCCACTGCAAAACATCTCCAATCAGGAAAACCGTAGCCCTTCTTTCCTCCCTTATCTTCAGAGACCACTGTTCTTTGATTCTTTGTCCTTCCAAGACAAATTTTTTAGCTTCAATCTGCAACACGCGTCTCCACTTGGTTGCTTTCACGAATCTTCCCTCCGCCATTATCAGGCACTTTGCTTGAAAACCTTTACGTGTTTCTCTGTTGCCGGAATCTGCCGCCATCACCGGAGCTGGCCACCGACACCAGCAATCATCCTAGTAGAGAAGTTAGCAATGTGCACCATTAGCTTCTGCTCTCATGAATTGGCACTTCTTCTTAAGGAGGGTTTTAATAATACTAGAACCAAGTTGGTAGTTTGCATTGTTCTCAACTTCTATCTATGGTGTAAACACTTCATTAGTTAGCAATGACTCTCCACTGGATCTAGTCATGACTGGATTCCAATTTGTATACCTCATTCAAATGGATTCCTAGAAGTGCCAACAGCCTGGCAAATGCATTAGCTAATTCTGGAGCAGAAAGGAATTTTTTGGATTGGGGTGAACCAGGGCCTTGAATCAATTTGTAACTCTAATTTAATTGTATTTTTGTGAGTCATGCTGGCTTTGTAACTCATGCCCTGCTGTTCTTCTATGGGTAGCTTGGATTTTTCTTAATGAAATTCTGTTATTTACCAACAAAATTCTTAGATGATGATGATTTTATTGATCGATGGAAAATATGTTTATTGATTTGCCTCTTTTGCTAAATTTGTGCAGAAGTAACATTTGTTCAAGGAGTTTGTAGCACTAACAGTTAGTGCCAATCTATAAGATGACATATTTCTCTATTTTAGTTTTATATTGGCCTTTATGTCGGTGCTGATTATTCTATTTTATTACAGGTGTCATGATGCAGAACAAAAACTTGAAGAAAGGGAGAGACATCCTATTAATAGCAGAGAGAAGCATGCATTGTATCCAGTGAGTTTTCTAGAAAGGAACTATGCAATTGCTTTGTTTGGGCCAGAATGTTTAATGTATATTTTCTGGACTAGATCATCTCTCTAAAATCTAGTTAGTAAGTTACATTGAAGCTCTCTAATTTGAGAGCTCTAGTGGTTTAAGTGGATGGACTTAGATGTGTATTCTAATAATTTTATTCTTGAATATTCATGAGAATAATTGTTGTTAAGTAGAACCTTGTGATCCATCAACACATATTTCCTTGTATTTTTGAACTCTGATGCCTTTTCTACTATAAATGTGCATTGGTATAGACGACATCTTATTTGAGAATCTATGCAGGTTGAAATTAATGATGTACCTGGAGATACCAAGGATAAAGATGAAATTCTTGAGAGTGAATTCTTTGACACTAGGCAGGCATTTCTGAGTCTTTGTCAAGGAAACCATTATCAATATGATACTTTACGGCGGGCTAAGCATTCTTCTATGATGGTCCTATATCATCTTCATAATCCAACTGCACCTGCTTTTGTGACTACATGCAACATCTGCCATCATGACATTGAGGCCGGTCAAGGTTGGCGCTGTGAAATCTGTCCTGATTATGATGTATGCAATAATTGTTATCAAAAGGATGGAGGCGTGGAGCATCCTCATAAGTTAACTAATCATCCATCAATGGCTGATCGTGATGCACAGAACAAGGAGGCTCGGCAGAAACGAGTTTTGCAGGTCTCTCTCTTTCTCTCTCTCCCCAAACCCTTACACCTAGATATTCACACCCTAAAAAAACCATCAAACATCCTGATTGTGCTACTTTAGAATTTTGTTAGAAATTGCAGGTATTTTTTCTTGGTTGAATCTGTGTTACTCCTTTAATTATAATATGCCTGTCTGTGCACAGTTTAGCTTTGACTAGTTGAGTGGCTGGTGGTGTGGTCAGTCTTTAGCCCCACCAATCCAGTAACATTGATAGATTTCTTGACCGTTATCAAGTTTTGTGTGCTTCTAAGGGGATAAGCCTTACTATTATTCCATTTTCTATTTTAAGGCATCATTTTACCTCTGTACTTGAGATGCTCCTGCTGTATAGGTGTGCTTGCCCAAGGGTCTGAGGAGTGTTGGTGGTTTGGAGGATTGGTAAGGAGGGAATGGCTGGACCCTGAGACGGGATGCTCTATGTGCTCTCCTAAGAGGGATCAGCCTTGGTGGCTAATTGTCAGCCACTATGTGCCCTCCCCCAGTACAATAATGAGTCCTACTTATATATTTTCTCCTCTTTCTTAAATGGGATAATTTTTGGAATCTTCTAATTATGCCATGTCAGCTAGATGGCTAGTTGTCAACCACTAGCTCATATGCTTAACTCAAGGTTTGGTTATATTTTCTATTTTGTGACTCCAGTTGGGCCGGGCTGGCTCATTTTTGGTTCGAGACAGGTTATACTGGGTCTATGACCTTTTACATGTCTATGCCCTTACACCTGCTATTTTTTGGGTGCTACTAAGGGGATAATCATTACTATTACTCGTTTTGTATGCTTAGGAACCATTTTTCCTCTGTACTTGAGATGCTCCTGCTATTTATTTTACCACATTTCTTTTTCAAGCATCACCATCATCATTGTCATTGTTGTCATCGTCTAAGCCTTGCCCAACTATGTGGGGTTGATCACATGATGTATCCTGTTTCTTCATTCCATTCTGTTCAGTGGCATATCCATCGTTAAATTATGGGTGCATATTTCCTTTCGTAAACTCGTTAAATTATATGTTCAGCCTCTTGTCAGTTATTTACTCTTCTGTTCTTATGTTTTCAGTATTTTATTCTGTATTGGGAAATTCTATTGATAGTTTAGGTTGTCCATTCAATGATAACTGGTTGAATTATTTAGAGATGAGTACTAAATGACCTTTAGATTCCTCTATATGGTATCATAGTCTGCCCTCACATGTTCCCATCTCTGTCCCAGATTCATTGGATTAATTTTTGCCAAAAGCTATTGCCATGTTTCCAAGCTAAGCCCTTATATTTGGGATTTTCTGAATTAAACAAAAGGGTTGGAGATTTAATTAAGTTTGGCATGACATAAAACTTGAAAAATGGCAGGTTCAAAAACTAGATGTTAACACATGGCATAAGCATATTGCATGGAATATTCGTACCTGTATCATGCCTGAGATTTTAGGAAATGAATAGTTGCATTGCCATTTCTCATATCTGTGTCCATGTCTGTATCTGTATGAACATCATAGATGGTTAGCTAGTTGGTTGTGCTAGATCAGATTTTTTGGTAGAATAGTAATTACAAGATTTTTATAAATGGTAGTCCAAAATTAATAGTAATTTTGTTGTTTCACACTCCTATTTGTGTCCAAATCTATTCCTTATTTTAGTGACATTTAGGTGTTCTATTGCTAGATCTGACTTTGATAAAATATTTACGTATTTTAAAACTTTTTGTGATTGGTCTTGTTTGTTAAAGGTATTTAACATCTTTGGATACCTCTGGTAGCAATTCATAGCTAAATTTTGGGCCTAGTATTTGTTTTGGAGTGATATTGAGTAGGGTTTGAATGTCCAGTTGCAAGTTGGTGAAACTTTAGATTTGAACCATAATCGAGAGGGGAGTGGTTTTTTTGGCATCTTTTGGTTGTGGTCACACTTCTTAGTTGAGGATCCTTGGTAATTTCTGTTGCAATAGAGGTGACTGCTGAATCATTGAAGTGTTTCCAGCACCATGATCCAATGTGCTGTACATGTTTGATGAAATATTTAAAGGACTACAGGTTTGTGTTAATGGAAAATCTTTGTCTTGAGTAGGTCCAATTATTTTATGTTCTTGTGTGATTAGGGTTATTTGATATGTTACAGTCCTGGTATAGTCATAGTTGTCAAGACGATGCCTAGGCGACAAGGCACCCTTGGAGGCTCGCCTCGCCTAACCACCAAGCAGTTTTCTATAGTGTGCTAGACAAAACTTTTATATTCTTAATTTTTTGAGGTTATAATTTTAAAATAGGCATTTTTAAACTTAAATATTCATTTTGTGTGTAAATATACTAATTTCTTTCTATTATTTTCTTATTTGTTAGGGTTTAATCAACACAAACATTGCTAAATGCTGTATTGAACCCTGAAAGACTTCAAAACTTGAACCAATAAGTAAGGAAGAACTTAAAATGTTGTCTAACCAACACATTTACTTCTTTTTCTTTACTAATTTTGTGTGTCTATACTATATACCAATTTTCTTCTTCCACCTTTTTCTTTTCTTCTTTTCCTATAACAGAAATAGGGGTTCAGCCCTTATATTTTTTGAAATTTCTTTTCTTTCTTTTTTTCTCATGAATATGTTGGAATATGTTGATTTTCTATACTTTAACATGAAGTTTATATTTTTTCTCATGAAAATTATTTATAATTATTAAGGAAGCATGATTATAGAACCTAGGATACTACCCTAGGATACATATTTTTACTTGAAACCTAGGGAACTACCATGGGTATAGTGTTCCTCATACTGTCATATTTGTTGTTTGATCTTTGATGGTTGGTAGTGTATTGTTGTCATTGGTTGTGTCTTTTGGTAGGAGCTATGATCCTCCACAAGGTATTGTGTTGTTAATGCATTGGGCAAGAGCCATTAGTTACCATGAGTATCATCTAATCAGTTAAGGATTTGTGTTGTCATGGTTAGGAGTCAAAAGTGCTTTTGAGTATGATTAAGCTGTTGGATCCCTGTAGACGTGGTGTAAAAGCTAGTTGTTGTCATGCTAGAATCTCCTTGTTTTACTCACGAGAAGCTTTGAGAGATCCAGTGGTTGTGTTGATACAAAGGTTACATCATTTCTTTTTAGGCAAACTGGCTGGTGTTATCTTCAGGGAAATATTGAATTATTTAAGTTGTGGTGCATGTGAGGATTTTAAGAAGTGATTTTTTTGGAAGGTAAAAAGAGAAATTTTATTGAAAAAGAAAAAAAAAACTGATTACAAGCACATGGAGGTGTTAAGATAACACCCTAAACCCCCTTGTTCCTTAGCAAGCACATAGAGGTGGTAAAAAGGGAATCTCCATAGCCACTTTTCTAGTAGAGCCTTGTTCCTTAGCAAAAGGTTCCTTACTCCTAAACCCCCTTGTTCCTTGGGTTTGCTAACCTGTTCCCAATTTATCAAATGGTCCTTCCTTTCCTCTCCTGGATCCCAAAGGAAGTCTCTCATGTATTTCTCCAAGTGCCTTGCTACCCTAGAAGGGATTCTAATGGTTGAGAGGGAATAAATGGCGAGGTTTTCCAAAGTGGCTCTAATCAAGGTTATTCTTCCACCCAAGGAAATGTAATTCCTCTTCCACAAGGCTAGCTTCCTATCAAATCTTTCAACGATTGGCTTCCAAAACCCATCCGACCTTGGGTTTCCTCCTAAAGGTAGACCTAAGTAACTAATTGGCCAATTTCTGATCTCACAACCCAGGATCTCAACAAATCTTAGGAGTTTCCCTTCTTCCAAGTTGATCCCTACAATACCACTTTTGGTCCAATTTATCCTCAATCTAGTCATCCCCACAAAATTTTTCAACAACACCTTCTGGTTTGCCACCAATTCCCCACTATTTCCTTCACAAAAAAAGATAGTATCATTTGCAAACTGGAGGTGGGTAACAACCACCTGGTTTCTACCTAACCTCCAACCTCTTATTAGTCCTTGGAGGTCAGATTTTGACACCAATTTGCTTAGAACTTCTGCCACTAGGGTAAAAAGGAAAGGGGGTAGGGGATCTCCTTGCATAATTCTTCTCTTAGTCGGAAAGAAATCTGTTGACATGTGTATTATATGTACTGTACGCAGGTTTAGTGCCCGCAGGGGTATTTTTGTAATTTTGTAGGCCTCTTGTGTTGTACGGCCAGTATAGTATAAATACAAATGCTTCACTCGCATGAAGCAGTTCTTTTGAGGCCTTAAATCTGCAGCCTCTTCTCTCTTCTTCTTCTTCTTCTTCCTTCCTTCTTCTTCTTTTGCTCAATATGGTATCAGAGCAGGACCGACTAGGCCTGGAAAACAACCAGCTGAGGTCTCTCTCCACTGCTGTGTAGAAGCTATAGTCCTGATGCTCGAAGACAAGGAAGAAAGCTGACTGTTAGTCTCCACTGCCGAGTTGGGTTCTGCTACAAGAAAGCTGACTGTTCAACTTCCTAGCGTAGAAAAGGGTTATGCTACATGTTTTTTGGGGTTGCTCGGCTAAGAAGACTGTAGAAAACCATCCCAGATGTACGAAGCAGGGTTCTGGCCTGCAGAGAAGATTGGGTCCATGAGTGTACTGCCTATTCACAGTTCGGGTGACCTGGGTACTGAACTGAAGTTTCTCTGTTTATGGTTCTTTTGTTGCACTCTTTCGATGGACTATTAATGTCCTAAAATCTGAGTAGGGACTGTTCGACTATTTTTTTTCCCTCCTCCGATTGTGTGTTGCTCTATTCAGCTCTCTAAGGGAGTTGTTGAACCCTAACCCCTAAGTGACTGTTCGGCTGCCCTGGAAAGTGGATATCAGCCGATTAGGTGTGGCGAACCACCACTTGTATTGCTGTTCCTACTGAGAAGCTGCATGAAAGTTGTAAAATTGTAGGTCATTTAGACCTGGTTACACTGCAAGTGCAGTGTTCGTATATTGTTCTGTGGACTCCTACAAAGTGTAGGTCATGCAATCTAGTACTGCAACTGCAGTGTTTGTGTTTGGT